GGCGCGCGGCGGCGGGAGGCCAGTACCGGGCGGGCTGAGCTCGCTGCCCGCCTCAGCCGGGATGGCAGGTGCCGGCGCTGCGGCTCCTTCACCCGAAGCGGTGCCCCTGGAGCAAACCGGAGGGATGAGACGTGCGGCGGCCGTTCGCCGTTCAGGAGGGGGAGGCTTCGGCCGGCAAGAAACGCTCTGCCGGGCGCCGGTGGAGCGATGTCTGCTCGGTTTGTTGGTGGAAGTCCCGGGAGCTACGTATTTAGTTTGAGGTTTGCCTGGGTGTTTCACGGGAGTCTTTGATCTCCGCGTCTGCAGCTAAAGAGTCACTTCGGGACTCGGTTCTATGTATCGCCCTGCCGCCCACAGCAGGTGCAGGATCCTGCTCCGGCAGATCTCCGACATCAGTCCTTGTCGGCTTCTTTCTGCCCGACACCGTCTTGCAATTACGGTTTAGGTAAAACCAGTAATTCAGTAGCAGCGACGTTGTTCCTTTCAACGATTTCCCTAATGCCTTAACGAGAAATAACTTTAGAAACATCTTCAAAACGTATTCAAGTTCTGCGAAACTGGAGTTCGTCCTTCAGGGATACTGTGCTAAAACCTGTCGATGGCGGGTGAGTGGCCGTGGTGTGATGGCGTTCCGGGGAAGGGGAGAGAGAATCCTCCCAAACGTGTTTCCCTGCTCCGTGCCTAGTTTGTGTAGAAGGCGAGAGTGATCTGGCCATCATAGAGTAGACCAGTCTTCAAATTAACGGCTCAAACGTAGACTTTCTGTATGATTTTGTGCAAATTGCTTAATTTCTTATATCTCGTTTCTCTGTAAAGTGGGAAATTAACATGCGCCTACTTACTGAACAAAGTCATTTTGTTTGACATATCTCTATTAAACAGAACCTGGGACAGAAAATTATGGCTTTGCTCTTCTCTGTTTGGTGGATCTGCATGTAGCATGAAGAGGGGCTGGGCTGAATTTAGGAAAGATTGCAAATGCCTTGTCGAGTGCAGCAGTTCTTCGTAGCTGCAATTTATTTTTAAATACTCTGCTCTCTTACACGGAGTGCTGTAATAGTCTTCCCTGTGCCTTAAGGGAAATGGACAGACTGTTCAGCTGGATGATGGGAGAGACCTCAATCCATTTTTAAAGTGGACTTTGTGTTTTTAATAGCTTTTTTTCTCTCTTACTAATTAGTCTGATAATTCAGTAATTCATAGGACTTTTAGAACATCGAGCAGAACTTGGTTTTCTAAGAGCAAGTGTTTAGTAAGGTCCCAATTCAGCATTCCTTATCAAAGTTTATTGATAGCTATGGCCACAGAAAGGTTGGGTATAGTTACTGTATTACCATGTTGTATTCCATATATTTTAAGGTTAATTAAAGAATTTTGGAATTTTTTGTTGCCGGTCAGAGCACTCAGGAGTGCTAGGATCATCTTTAAATGGGCTGTTCAGAGTAATTGAGATTATTCAGAGGACTGTTTGCTAAGTAAAGCCAAAATGCCCTGACGTTCTTCATACACTAGAAATGATACACTTTTCTTCATATTTTTATTTACTTTCGGTTAGCACTTGCCTGCATTGAACTATAGATCTTTATAGGATAAATTTATGATTTTTTTAAAAAATTTTTTTCCCCTCCTTAGAACTGCCAGATATATACTGAACCTTGCATGCATAAAGGACTTCCTCTGTCTGACGTGGTCATTATCCTTGACAAACTGTTGAAACCTTAGGAAAATGGTAAGTTTTGTTCATTTTTTGTTCAGAAATTACAATGTAGAAAATTGTTTAATACATTAAAGTGTATCCCGAGGACATTTGAACAGTTACTTTTAAGTTAATGGCTGATTATGGCATATATTTTCTAGTTTAATCCAGCTGTTGCCACATGCAAATATTTGAATTTACACTCTTACCTCATAGAGCCTTATGGCTTTGTAATTTAAGTGCATTGTTGGGTGCTCTGAAATTATTGTTTCCTCCTAATTATTGTTTTTTGAAATAAATCAGAGAAGGAATCAAAAGGGTTACCTGTTTGATTGGATTCCAGCCTATGCTTGAACCAAAAGAGCTCATTAGTTGTATGGGTCAAAAAGATCGGTAGAGAGATATATTTCTTCTCAATGGTTCTAAATGTCTTTTGCATTTGCTTTTATTTGGCTCCATTTAAAGTTTATTTTTTAAGTTAATATTAAAGCATTAGTCTTTTAGTATTATTTTGCTATGTATTAACCACTTAGCTGTAGTAAGTATTGACAAGCATTTCTGCATTTCTAAGTAAGGGGGAAAATTGCAGTAGTACATACATCTTGATCTCAATTTTTCAAACTCTTATGCCCATACTTCATTCTAAGTACAAATTCAGTAGAATTCCTATCTTGCACAAAAAAACCCAGGAGGTATGTGAATAGAAATTTGCAGGATCGTAATTTTTCTTGTCCTGGTAGTGATACTTATCATTAGAGTCTCCTATTTGGCTAAGAATACAGATTAAGTTTGTTAGCATATAATTGTTCCAGAAACTCTTTATCTTTCTATTTTATTCACCGTATCCCATTTTATCATTAACTCATTGTAAAATGTAAGATTTACTCTTAATATTGATTGTTCTCTTTTTTTTTTTTTGTTAGCATATAATTGTTCCAGAAACTCTTTATCTTTCTATTTTATTCACCGTATCCCATTTTATCATTAACTCATTGTAAAATGTAAGATTTACTCTTAATATTGATTGTTCTCTTTTTTTTTTTTGTTCCTAATTATGCATATATTGGAAGGCTGATCTGTTACCAAATACCACCTCTAGTGTGAATTTAAAAAAAAAAACTTACAACAGAACTGATGTTCGGAAAAAGAGCTGAAAGAATCACTTAAGCATATTAGCTTCAGTAATGTGAAAATAAAGTAACCTGCTACATGCTTGAATTGGCAGAAACACCTCTGTGTCCTGCTGAGATGCAGGATGTCACAGAATTATCTTTTTCACTTATTTTATTCAGCATACTTCTATAATCTTGTTGTAATACTTTGGATGGTGACCAAGTAAAATGGTAGAAGGAGTGGTAAGAGATTTCTTCAAAAGTACTGAAAGCGCTGTGCACTCAGGAATATAGTCTCAAGGAGGAATTATTTTTTAAAAATTAGTCAGAAAGTAGCCTCATTCTTTTGTCCTGTTCCCTTGTCATTGCTGTCCCCCACTCCAAGCCCATGCATGCACAAAGGAAACGTCCCAAGGACTGGAGTAACATCTAATCCTATGCCACAATCTGGTTTGAGATCCAGTAAGTTTGCAACCTGTGGGTTGTACTGGACATCTTCCTTCAAAGTGAAAATCGGTCTTTATAATGAGGTCTGCAATTTTGTATTTAGAACCACTATGCTCTATAAACCTTAACTTAACTGCTTTTCTATGTGTAATCTGTTGACAATGAAAAATGGCTGCACACTTGGATTTGGTGTGTGTTTGTGGAGGTTTTTTGCTGTTTGGCCAAGCTATTAGTAGTAAGGGAAATAAGAATCCAAGGCTCCTTGAAAGCCTGTCTGCTCCATGTGACAATGTAGCTTCCAGCCTAGCGCCAAAAACCTGATTAATAGGGAATTACTGTCCATTAAAAGTGGGCTAGATCAATTGTCCAGATCGTTGGAGAGTGAGTGCTCAGGTACCAATTAAGTGAAACTGTCAAGTTAGTTCTCCTTTGAGATTGTTTCTGAGCACTAGGTGTATGGTCATGTATGTTAATATAAGCTTATTTGAAAAGAAATTATGTTAAACTACTCCTCCTTTGCTATTTTTGTGTTGTAATAACATGCTCTTTAATAGGAAGGCATTTTCACACCAGGTGCAGATTGACTTTGCAGTCTTACAAACACTGCAGCAAAGTTCACAGCTGACAAAAGAGCCATTCAACACAAAAATAAACATTTTTAAATGAGCTGATGCCTTGAATTCTGTCCCTACTGATGCTAATAAGTGTCCACATCTTATTTTCCCTTATAACGAACACTAAGCAGCAATATTTTTGACATTTTCAGTGGAGAGGCTAAGTGTTCTATAGTGTGAAGACTGTTGCATAAGCTATGTATTGTAAGGCATTTTGGCAGGGGTACAAACTTCCTCACTCTGTGCTATATCTGTTCTGTGTATACAGAGAAACTCAGTCCCTAGGGCTATCAATCTGGCATCTTTCATCAGCACTAAATTTACTGCAAATATTTTTTGTGTGCATGCAAAAAAAAGTGCTATTAAACCTTTGTGGACAGGAGTAAGAACATTCAAATAGGTGCATCTTCTGTTTACTTCTCTCAGAATTCCTCTTCGCTGAATTCTGATGAGCACATTCTGCTGACTCAAATTCACTCAGCCTGTGTTTGTGTGTATATCTTGTCATAAGTCTTTATTTTGAACACTTTGGCAATGTTATCTTGCTCAAGAGCTTGTCACACTAAAGATTTTTTTACTTTTTTTTACTTATTTCTCTATTTACTGTCTACTTACTGTATAATTGTGATGTCTTTGAAAATGTGTTGCTAACTTATCATTTCTCCTCTACACTTTCCTTATGTTAGTGTGAAATATTTCTGTAGACAAATTTTGGTGTTACACGCTTGGTTTTTAGGAACAGAGTTGCTTAGGAGCATGAAGTTTTTTCTACTGTTGTTCCAACATGCTGCTCCATCTGTCCAAACTGAATTGCTAACGTGTGGCCACTGCTTTTCTCCGTCTGTGGGATTAATTTAATTTTCTTGTTTGGAAAAATAATATTATATTGCAGGGCAAATTGAGATTAATTCAAAATAACTTTGGGATTAAAAAACCCAAACAACTAATACTGGTATTTGTTTTATCTTTGTAATATGAGCACAGTAGGAAGTTTTTTAGGTTTACTTGATGAATATGTCATTGAAATAATATGGAAATTGAAGTGTACATTTTGGAGGTTCTTTCCTAATGGTTAAAACTTGGAATTCTGTGTGCTTTTAGCCTCAAAGTGAGGGCATGACGATATTATCACTTTAGACTAACATTTCAGCTGGACCTGCATCACAGTTCAGGTGTTGTTCATTCTGCTGCTACAGTGTTACAGTTGACTACTGGCAAAATAAACAAATTGGGGCACATCTGTCCTGAAACTTCAAAGTTTGTAAGTTGTTCAGTAATATTTTGACATCTTCCTTTATTCCTGTCTTTATAAAATAAAGTGACATTCACAGTCACAGACTTACACGTTTGATCCCAGGAAGACTTTATGACAGCTGGCATATAAAATTACCCTTTATCCAGTGTTGTTTTGGTAGCTGCTTAGTTTCTTATCTGGATTGCTCTTGTTCTCATGGAAGACTGTTAAGTCTACTATTTTAGCACTGAAATATTGACATCATTATTACAAGGAGAAATAGTAATTGTTCAATGTCTCTATAGGCTGTAAATCTCTTCCTGTCTTGGTGGCATTTAAACTATCTCGATTTGGGTTTTAAGTGAAATTAGGTTTTTACCCTCTTACAGTACTGATGCTAGGTTTTATTAATACTTGTGATATTTGGGACTTTCTAATGGAAAGATGCTTTTTTTAAATGGAAACTACTACTTAAAGTGGCCTTGATAATGAGAGTTTTCTGAAAAAGTGATCTAAAACAAATCAGATATCTGTTTACAGGCTCAGGTATTACAAACATACATTCAAATTCCAATAAAAAACCTGATAACTGTGTGCTTCAGAAAACTTCTCCAAGATCTATTAATCAAAAGTATGTGTAAATTATTAGAGACGGCTCATATAGCCAGCATCTATTTACACAATTAGAGCTGAAATGAATTACCTCAGTAACTTCCTGTTGGAAGGGGAGAGCTGAAACAGCACTCAAGGCTAAATTCAGCACTGGGTTTAAGTGGTCGCAGCTTCATTAACTTCAATCAAGTTACACCAGTGATTAATTTTTGGGGGATTGTAATTCGTTTAACATAAGGCCTTCTGGTTTATACGTAATTGAGTTCAGTCATGCATTTAAGGGCAAAAAAGTGATCAAATTTAAGTGTCTGTTTTGTACCTCTTTACAGTCGTTGTATGGTCCCCTTTACCAAAATATCTATTTCACAGTCTTTTTAATGTATTCATCTTTGTTACCTCCCTGTGAAATAAAGCAGTATTTTGTAGTTAAGAAATGCATTAAAGATGATGAAGAATTAAAGAACAATTTGACCGACTTCATGGAGGAGGTTCAGAGCAGAGAAAGGATTTGATCTCAGTCATTTGTATCTGACACTGAATAATGTAGAAACTAGACCATCCTTCCCTTCTGAAATATAAAACCAACTGATGCAACATTTTGATAGAGCTGCTGGATATTCTAATTTTCTAATGATGACAATTATTGAAGTTCTAACAATTAGCTCTGTTCTTAATTAACCTTCCGGTTGGCCCTGCAGGTTTGATAACAAAGGGACCGCAAGTATGTAATACTTGTGGACCAGAATTGTTTCATAAATTTTATGGACAGAATTCCATTCTATTTGTGGTTGCTTCTGGCCTTGATATGATTTAGGACCTAACTGAATATTTTTGACCATGCTAATTTTCTTTGTATTGATGAGGGCTATAAAACTTGCTTATCCCTCAGGTGTAAATTATGGAATTCAATCTCAGTATGAAATTCAACTGTCAGAAAGTCTTGAACACTCTTGTTTCTTCAGATGGGCAGTTTTTAGAGAATTGCCTCATTCTTCTTGCATCTCCGTTTCAAGG